AGAATCAATCAAAGTATCTCACTAAGAATTTACAAACCCTCGACCTAGGAATTCATAAATACATAGCTAGAAACTAAGATGAAACTGAAACTCCCCTTTGATGCTCTTAGAACTCATGCCAATCATCCATCTTCAAGAGCTGGAAGAAGCCTAGCCACTCATGGTATACTGAAGCATCTCTAATGAAATTGACTCAGTGTTTCCCATGGATGAAGGTGACAGTGGAAGATGGAGGAATTAGGGTTTGATAAGAGAATGATGATAGAAAAAATGTAGATGATGGCTGTGGTATGAATGAATGATGTCACTTACACGAAAATAGGGTTTCTAAACCGGTAGTGGGGTGTATTGGGTCAGTTTATGAGAGTGGGTAGGTAAAATTTCTGAAAATGGTTCAGTCTGGCTTGTTGATTCGAGGAGTTCGCCACGGCAAACCTTGGCCGAGAGCACTTTTGCTAAAGTAGTGTCTTCACCGTAGCGAAGACAAAGTTGGTCATGGCGAAACCTAGTAGAGGTGTCAATCTGTCTTATGTGCTGGGCTTCCTTGATCTTCACTCCTGGCTCTTTTTCTTGAGTGTCCTGAAATAAAAAGAAATAGTTTAAGGCATCGATTATCCCAGAAATCACTTAAATATAATTAGTAAATAAATATGAAAATTTTGCCCTCAAATAGCACTAACTTAGAACAAGGACCCTCAATCTCAATTAAGCACAAATATCATTAAAATGAGCCAAAAAGTGTAACAAAAATATGGAAAAAATCATCAATTAGTATAAACAATTTGAGCTCAATCAAATTCCCCCACACTTAGACCTTTGTACTCCTGGACAAAGCTCAAAAGATTCAAAAAGATACAAGTGCAATGAGAAATACTAACATGCTTAAAGATGATAGTAGAAGATTAGCAAGAAATTCCCACGAAGATTGACAATGGTAAAGTAAAGACATGCTAAGAAAATAAACACTATGGACGTTTAATCCAAAAGATTGAGTAAAAGAGATTTATCTCACAGATATGTGTTTAGCTCTCAACTCACTTGTTTTGGGATTATTTTACTCCAAGTCTGTTCAGTTCAATCTCTACCATAGGCTTGTAATAATTCTACCTCTCCACCACAAGAACCACAAATTGCAAATCAAGAGGACTTAGGGCTTGTAAATTTTAGTGATGGTCAAATGAAATGCATGGAATAAAAGAGAAAGTGAAATTTGAGTACAAGCATAACAATTATTCTATCCATGCAATAAACATAAACCTTGCTGAAGAGAGAAGCCAATAATAGTAAAATTTTTGTTTATGTTTTTTTTTTGTAAGATTACAAAACTGACTCCTCTTCCTCCTCTTCTTCTTTTTCTAATTTTTTTAAGGCCAAAACAGAGTAAAATACCTACAATTTATTTGAATGCATGTACTCAAAGTGTAGGTCCAAAGGGGTTGGCAATGGTAAGGTGTTTGGGTTTGTGTTTGGACAGTAAGGGTTTGGAAACGAATGCCTCTATCATGTTTACAATATGTTGACTCATCAAGCTTTGATTAAGAATTAGAACAAGTTCTAGACAAATATGAAACTAAACAGGTTCACACAATTTAACAAATTAAGGCCAAAATATCCTTCCAACAAGGCTAGTATCTCAATTAATCAATCTGAAGGTTTAAAAGCGCATAATCCTATTTTCAAAGCATACCCTCAATTACTCTTTGTCAAAAACAGTGGGGAATGACTAGTCTAAGTTTAACCATCATTTAAAAGTATGGGTAGGTTTTCTAAAAGCACAAGTATGATTTTGAATTTCCAATAATTTTAAAAATGCAGGAGTATTAAGAATCTAAGCTAGGAGGATTTCCAGAGGAAGAAAAATGAAATTGCAAAGCATTTAAGGTTTTTTTTTTTTGCTTCACTGCGGCCAACGAAGGGGTTTGCCGTGGCGAACCTTAACCAAAAATCAAAACCTAGCGACAGGCCTGCTTCGCCACGGCGAAACATAGGTTGGCCGCGGCGAAGTATGGCCGGGAAATAAAACTAAAAGAGAAAGAAGCGCTTTGCCGCAGTGAAATAAGGAGTTTGCCACGGCGAAGGTTAATAGAGAGACAAAATGCAATGGAATTTTCAAACTTCCTTGAAAGTTAACCTCAAAGACTTCAAAAATTCCACAGATGAGTATCTTAAGAACACCTAAAGAGTCAGAATGGATGCATGATGAAGCACTTGCTGAAATCAAAAATAGAGGTCCCTCCCCCACACTTAAACACAACATTGTCCTCAATGTTTAAACCGATACAGGCAAACAAAACACAAAATGAACCGGAAGTTGTGAAGTCCAATTGAAATTGAAGCACAACACATCGAATTTACAAGAAGAAGGGAGAAGGTGATAGGTTGCATGCAAAACAAAGAGGATAAGGAAAATAGCAGTTGGGACCAATGTAATTGTAACAGCAAAATGAAAAGGCCATCAGTAGCCAAACAGTTAAACAACATCCAATGTATCACAGAAATAAAAATACCAAAAAGCTTAACAAGTAACCAGCGACACCGACTCAAAACAAGCATAAAGAACAAGAAACAAAACAAAACACAAAGAAAGAACTACTGCTACGTCCCAGTATCATCTTCCCCAGACCCAGATGGTCTTGTACCAGAAGTGCCCGCTCCAGATGTCCCAGCTCCGCTTTTAGGGTCTTCCTCTTCGAGAGGTAGGAGGAAGTTCAACCGGTCAGCAATTAGAGCATCCACACGACGGCGGTAACATCAGTCTCAATCATAAAGAGCATTGCGGTCCTTCTGCCTCTTCATCTCGGGGAGGAGGGTGACTCACAACTGGTGGACATGGTCTGCCAGCTCATCGATATCATCAGCCAGGGCATCCAAGGTGACAGGCTCAGGAGCTTCTGGATCTTCCTGTCCTTCTTAGCCTTTAAGAGCTGGTATACCGGCTGCATGCGCTGCGCCAACATCATAAACAGGGTGGATGGGTAGAGGTGGTCCAATGACAGGCTGTTTAAGGCAGTCATATCGAAACAAAGGGGCTGGCTCAAATTAGCTGTCATTATTGTACTCAGGGACATTGGTGGGGAAAAATGATGCTGTTGGTGAGTTTGGGGGTGTTGATAGCTTCATGGGGGGCTGAGTAAATGGTGTCGGCTACATCAAAGGATCACCCAGTCATGAAAAGGTAGATGTAAAGGGCTTGGCACTTAGGAACATTGGCTAGGTGGGTGGTGGGTACTACGTTGTTGCAGACAAAATGTAGCCAAGGGCGAGCCTCAGGTTGGAACTCGGATCGCTTAAGGTATTGCTCAGTAGTGCAGGGGCGATGCCAAGTGGCTCCGTTATGACACAAGGTTTGGACCACATCATCAAAAGGGTAGTTGTCTTTGTAAGCCGAATAACTTGAATGGCGACAAGGGGAAAGGCGGTAATAGAAACGGATGTTTTTAGCGGTAAAGGAACGACGGACAAGGACATTACGAAAGTCGACGATCATGGAGCCATGAAATAGGGCATAGGTGTAAAAATGGCAAACAAAAGCGTCATTGCCTATAGAACGTTCTTGGACCAAACCGGTCAATTGGGAGGCATGGAGCTAGCGGACAAAAGGGTGATCAGGGGGGTCTAAAGGAAAAGGTTGCTCCTTGATGAGAGGTCTTTGGTCGATCTTTTGATATAACTCCTCAAAAGTATACTCATCCCTAGAATCAAATTCAGACATAGGCGTAGGGTTCTTAGTACGAGGCATACTCTAAACACAAGAAACAAAATACACTAAACAAAGACCAAACAGACAGCAACGAACACTACCCCAGAAAAACCAGAATTAACCACCCAGGCAATAGCAATTGGCTATGTAATGATTCATAGGTTTTCAATTTTACCAAAAACTTTCAAAATTGAGTAAGAGAATCAAAGAAAAACAAAATGCACCATGAATCATTAGATAGCCTAAGAGCTACGTAACTAAAAACTGAACGTAAAACAACCCAACCCAACAACTAACCAACAAAAAAGAATAGAGACCAACAGACCAAAACTAAAAACAAACTAAAACCAAAGAAAGAGCAAAGGAAAAAGAGGTTCATACTGCAACCAGGGAAGGAGTGCTCCAGCACAGCAAGTGAAAGGCAGAAGCACAGATCGCTGAATGAGAGCAGAGGGTAGAAAGAGAGAAATGAGAGTGATGAAGAGGTTAGAAAGGTGAAGAGAAAAGGGAGAATGAGAGTAGAGAAAAGAGGGAGAGGGGCACTGGAGAGGATTTGAAGGTGTGGGCGTTGTAAGGAGTAACTGAAAGAATATAGAGAGGGGGGATGACGGTTTCTGAAAAATGAAAGCATAGTGGGGATGTAGGAGTTTAATGGGATGGGGAAGGGAAAAGACAGAAATGGATTTAAGAGAAGTGAGTGGGTTGGCAGAAATGGAGGGTAAAGTAGGGATTTCACATGGAAAATAGGGTTAAAATGAAAAATAAACTGCGCTGAAGCGGCGGCTTAGCCGCGGCGAAAGCAAAGGAAGAAAGGAGGATTCGCCGTGGCAAAGGCAGAAGTTCACTGAGGCGAAAGGTCACCGAGAGCAACATAAGAGACACAAGGCTACTTTGCCGTGGCAAAAGTAGCCAGAGACTCACAAACATCACAGAATCAACATAACAGCAGAGAAACACAACACACAAACAACAGAGGCAGCTGGATACTTCAAAAACTTTAAGGTGCACCAAAAGATATCAAAACGGTGCTCAATAAGTGCATGATAATACAGAACAACACAAGCAAGCTTTCTCTAATAATTTAAATCACATATTTCATCACTTGCAATACATAAGGAGAAGGGAGAGATCAGAACTAGGAGGGGGGTCTTATTGAATTTAAACAACAACTACGTTAAACTAAACTACTAAAATGGGTTTCTCCCCCACACTCATTCAACATACTAATGCATAAAACATATCAAGAACAATAATCAGGCAAAAGCACGTAAATGAATGAAGGAAAGAAATGACTTGGGAATTAAGGAGGTTTCTGATTTTCATGGTAGAGCTTCAGTAGATGGCCGTTGACTTTGAGTCTAGCCCCAGTCTCTTCATGTAGGAGCTCCGCCATACCAAAGTTGTGCACTTTAGTGATTGTGTGTGGTCTATCCCATCTGGTGTTGAATTTTCCTTGCTTGAAAGTGAACCGGGCCTTATACAACAATACTCGGTTACCCTCTTGGAAGTTCTTCCGCAGGATACCCTGATCATGCACCAACTTAGTCTTTTCCTTGTAGAGTCTAGAGTTCTCATAAGCCTCAAGTCGAATCTCCTCTAACTCTTGTAATTGCAGCTTCCGTTCCATACCAGAAGACTCGATATCCATGTTGCACTACTTGACTGCCCAGTATGCCTTGTGCTCCAGCTCCACTGGCAAATGACAAGCTTTCCCAAAAACCAGGTGTAACATCCCAAAATTTGGAACCCTAGTAATGGGAGTGTGCAAAATGAGATATGATCGATAAGCATAAGGTATGAGTAAAGCATGAAAACCCAAAATGGGACGAAACCGACTTTATCGGGTCCCTAGGGGCAAAACGGTAATTTTGGAAAAAGTTTCCAAAAATTACCTAAAAATAGAAAAAAAAAATGAAATTAGAGGTTTTTGAGTCACACATGATGTTTTAGGAGTGAGAATAGCCCAAAATAAATTTTGGTGAAAATTCCAAAAAAATAATTATTTTTGGGAAAATAGGGAAAAATAAAGGGAAATTAAAGTGATAAAATTATTTTAATTACCTAAGGACTCCAAAAATCCAAGGAAAAATATGGATACACTCCCTAGGAATATATATGAATTTATAAAATTGTTTCCAAGCATTGGAAATACAGGAAATAATTTATGGGGAATTTATTTCTGAATTCCTATCGGTAAGGACCCGATTTCGGAGAAAATGTGAAATAAATATCTAGAGATCTTGAAAAATTCCCAAAACTTCCAGATCACACTCTTGGAATAAATAGGGAATTATCATGAAAAGAAATAGAATTTTTGAAGCCCTTAGCTATTTTTCCTAGTAGAGGGCAAGAAATCGGGTATTATGTGACCGAATGAATTTTTAAATTACCCTAACTAATTCCATTACTTCCTAACCAGTTTTTAACATTTAGTTAGCATCCAACAAGGCCCAAATTTGTGCTCACCCTGATCAGAACAGCTGGCTTGTGTGCTGGGCAAATTTTCAACCATTAGATCAACTCTCTTGGAAAGTGAGTCAAAGAATGTGTGGCTAGGATTGGTTCTTCATTTTGGCCGACCTTAGCACTTAATTTGGGGCAGAAATAGCTGCCCAAGGGCAGGTTTTTGGGCAGCAAATGAGCTATATAAATACCCCCACAAGGCATCCAAAATTCGGACAGAAATGGGACAATAGAGGGGAGGTTCTGCACAATTTTCTTCTTGGCTTCCAAACACTCCTCAAAGCACCTCCAATCCAAGGTTATTCATCAAGCTTTAATCCAAGACTCTTTGAGGTATGTTTAGGCTTTAATTTGATGCTTTTTCCATGGTCAAACCGTGACTTATTTGAGGGGGAAGTGCTGTTTCAATTCTGTTGTGCTGGAAGTGCTAGGAAAGGATAGCAAATTGAGTATGAGTTGTGTTGTTGATGTTTGGTGCGTTTTGAATGGGTTATGGAAGAAATTACCCTATGAACTATGACTTTTCAGTTCAGCCAACTCAAGAACTCAAGGGTAGGAATTGTTTCAATAAGTTTTAATGGTTCCAATGGACTTAAAATGTGATGGTATGTAGGATTATGCTAAGGAAGTATGTTCAAATTCATTGGAATCAAATATGAAAATTTATGAACCTAAGAGGAAGTGTTCAGCCATCTTGAATATATGGACTTATGATTGGATTTTGAAAGTTTTGATGCTTTCATTGAACTCCTTGGGCGTTTTTGTGTAGGGTTATGTGGAGGAATTGAATTTGGAAGCATTAAAAATCAAAGTTGGAAATTTTGACATTTTTTCCTTATGAAATTCGTTTCTGTTTTGACCAGAACTTAAGGAAGGAATTTGATTTTGTAAAATTTGATTTGATATTTGAATTCTACATGAAAAACCATGTAGGAATGGCCAAGGAGGTTTCTTGAATCAAAAGGAAAACAATTAGGCCAAAAATCCCAAGAAAGAAGGGTTTAATGTTTAAGTAATAGAGAATGTGTTTGAATAATTGTTGAATGATTGGCCTTGGTGTTGGTTTGATAGGTACCTTGCCAAATCCTCAAGAAAACATCTTGAACTTAAAGGAAATCAAGGACCAAGTACCAAAAGGTAGCATTGAATTACACTTTGATTGTTTTCTTGCTTACATTGATGTGTTAATGTGAATGTGTGCAATGTATGCCGTGATGTGACTAAGCTTTATTGCAAATGTTGATTGCAATGTTTGAATTATGTTGCCTTGGCATTATGTCCATTGAATATGTGTATGATAGCTTACTTTCCATGGCATAAAAGCATGAACATATGAACAAGATATCTGCACAAAAGCATTGCACGTAGTGTTTGCAGGAATGCATGAAAATTGTGATTCTGTGCTATTGGGATTTCTTTGAAATCTCACTCTTATGTTTAACACCACCTAGGAGGGAGTTCAAGCAAGGGCAAAGGCAAAGAAATTGTCCCGGAGACCTAATGAACAATTAATGTACCCTAGTGTAAATTTTTGGAACTTGTTATGTAATATTATGACTTTGGAAATGTTTGTTGGATAATAGCTCCTAAGAGGAGCCAAGCATGTATGTCTATGTTTAAATATGTGAAAGCATAGTAGAATGTATGTTCAAGCTTGTATTAAGCCTCCAATAACTAAGGATGGGTAAAAGGTTATGAAAGAGTCATTACAAAGGTAGTTAGGGGATAACCTTTGACTAAAAATGGACCAAGCTTGGTGCATACGAAATAAATAGAAAATATTCGAATCTGGATTTGAAATTTGGCAGACTAATAGATCACATTTTTAGCTTTAAATCAAGTGGTAGATCATTAAATTTGGAATTTTGTAGAAAGAGTTATGCCCTTTCGAAGTTGGATAAAAATACTGGAAATTTCAGAATTTACCAAATGAATAGTACATAATTGCGTGGAAATTGGTATTGATCTGTAAGAAATAAACACCTGTGGATATTTTTCCTATGTAGAGAATTTCATAAGCTTCACATGAGACTTAGAACCACTCTATTTTGATTTTTATACAATTAGTTATGATTTTTCAAAGTTGACCCGATTTTTAGGGGTTACATGAATAGTAACCGAAATCAAAATTTTAAATCTTGGTTTTTACCTACTTTGAACATCATGTAACGATTCCAAATGGTTCTAAAGGACATATAATGGGGTTTAAAATGAAGGTGTGACACCAGGCGATAAGGGGACATGCCAATGGGAGATTTATATGCAGTCCGGTAAGCCCACAGCGCTTCTTCCAAACGTAAGCTCTAATTTTTCTTGGATGGTTTCACCATTTTCTCCAGAACATGCTTTACCTCTCTATTTGAAATTTCAGCTTGACCATTGGTTTGGGGGTGATAGGCAGTGGAGACTTTATGAGTGACACCAAATTTGGACAACATATTGTTGACTATCCTATTAAAAAAATGTGTTCCCCGATCACTCACTACAGCTCTAGGGATCCCATACCTACAGAAAATGTGTGATTTAAGAAATATATGAACAGTAGGGGCATCATCTTTTCTCCAAGGTATAGCCTTAATCCATTTGGATACATAATCTACAGCTAATAAAATATATACAAAACCCAAGGAAGAAGGAAAGGGTCCTATAAAGTCAATCCCCCAAAAATCGAAAATCTCACAAAACAGTAAGGGCTGTTGAGGCATCTCATGTCTTTTTCCTAACCCCCTAAATCGTTGACACTTGTCACAAGATCTATAAAATGTAAAAGAATCTTTGAAAAGGGTAGGCCAATAAAATCCTGAATCTAAGACTTTCCTAGATGTCCTCCGTGCACTAAAATGACCTCTACAAACCATGGAATGGCAAGCTAAAATAATAGGGTCAAAGTCCTCCTCCAGCACACACTTCTGTATCACTTGATCACTGCATATCCTCCACAGATGAGGGGCATCCCATATATAGTACTTTGACTCACTACGAAGCTTTTGTGCCTGAAATCTTGACATAAAGGGAGGAGTGAGTCCAGACATGAGATAATTGACAATATTAGCATACCAAGGCTCTATAATAACCAAAGAACATAAAGCTGAATCAGTAAAAGAGTCACAAGTCAAGTCAGGAGAGTCTACTCCCCTTGTATCCTCTGGTAGCCTACTCAGGTGGTCAGCTACTTGATTCACTACCCCAGCTCTATACTTAATCTCAATGTCAAACTCTTGAAGCAGTAAAGCCCATTTGATCAATCTTGGTTTAGATTGTGGGTTTTTGAGTAGATAGCGGACAGCTGTATGATCTGTATACACAACCACTCGAGAATTGATTAGATACTGTCTAAACTTATCTAAAGCAAATACAATGGCAAACATTTCTTTCTCAATAGTGGTATAGTTGACATGAGCTGGGTCAAGTGTTTTAGAGGCATAGGCTATGACTCTAGATCGCTTCTCTTCCTTCTGGCCAAGCATAGCACCACATTGCACAATTAGAAGCATCACATGAGAGTTCAAAATGTAAATTCTAGTTGGGTGCAGTCAAAATAGGAGGCGAAACTAGCATAGACTTGAGAGTATCAAAGGCATGTCTACATTTTTCATCAAAATTAAATTCCACATCCTTTTTAAGAAGAGTAGAAAGGGGCAAAGCAACTTTACTAAAATCTTTAATAAAGCGCCTATAAAACCCTGCATGCCCAAGAAAAGATCTCAAATCTTTAAGACAGGTGGGGTATGGCAAAGATGAGATAACTTCAATTTTTGCTTTGTCAACCTCAATCCCTTTGCTAGAAATGAGGTGACCTAAGACTATACCACTGCCCACCATGAAATGACATTTCTCAAAGTTTAAAATAAGATTTTTGGCTATGCATCTCTATAGAGCTTACCTTAAGCTATTTAGGCATTGATCGAAACTCTCCCTATAAACTGTAAAATTATCCATGAAAGCCTTCATATTGTGCTCTAAAAGGTCACTGAAAATTGCCATCATACACCTTTGAAAGGTGCCTGGAGCGTTGCACAGCCCAAATGGCATCCTTCAATAAGTGAAGGTACCAAAGGGGCATGTGAAGGTGGTTTTGTCTTGATCCTCGGGGGCTATGGGTACCTGAAAATAGCCGGAAAAGCCATCTAAGAAGCAATAATGTGATTTACCAGCCAGTCTTTCCAACATTTGGTCAATAAAGAG